AACCTTCCCAGGAGGCTGATAATCCTTTAGAGCAAATGGGCACCGTAATCAAATATAATCAAATATATAGAAGAAATTCAGTTTGGATGAGAGTATGTGGGTATGTGAGCCTTTCTAATGACTTGACGGGGTCTCCTGTAGGTACCCGAGTTGTTCGGCAAAAGCAAACAAGCACTTCGGGCCCTTCAGGCAGACAGAGCACTACTAGTTCAAATAGAAGATATGGACCATTCACGCCTTGTCACCACTGCTACTATATCTTTATAAAGCTTCCCACGGCAGGCAAAGACAGCTGAATCCAAAAAGCGCAAAGAAAAGGATGTGCAGGCCAGAGTTTCCTATTTGACCAGGTGTAAGAGGGGTGCGCAGTGTGTGTGTGTGTGTGCGTATACATAAATATATATATATATATGTACATGATAAGGGATGTGTAAATGTACCATTTGTCTATGCACATGAGTCAGAGCTTGCGGAGAAGGCGGAAGTTGCACAACCATCCCAAGCAAACAATCATCTATAGAGCAAGTGGTCTGCAAGATTAAATAGAAGAAAATATACGACCATTGTAGATACCCCTTTTGTTTTCCTATTGAATAATAACAACACTAGTCTAGTAGGGAAGAAAGGGAGCCTTTCGCATGGTAGGTAGAGGATGCAGAGGCAGGAAAAGCCAAAAAGCAGAAGAAGAAGGATACAGAGGCAAGCACCGTGGTAGATGCCCCTTCTTGTCTGTCTCTTTTCACCACTGGAAGGCTGAAAGCACAAAGAGTAATAATAAGAAGAAAAAGGATGAAGCAAACCTGCCAGAGGTTGAAGTTGAGGCCAGGCCAGAATGGCCCATATCTTTAAACATGTAGCTTCTAGAGCTTCAATCATACCTTCGATCCAGTCGCATCACCACCAGGAGGGTGCAATCCCAAAGAAGAAGCGCAAACCAGAAGCTCAGGCCAAAGCTCCAAACATGGTCAAAAGACTTGGACTCTAGAACCTTAATTGAAATGCTGTATCTGCATTGTGCAACCTTTTTGGCATTTAGCAAACAGGAAATCATTGTTGCTATTCAACTTATTCAACCCTGTCCGTGCAGGAACCGGGAAAGGCGGAAGTCGCACAACCTTCCAAGGCGGACAGTCACTTCACTTAGAGCAGCACAAATAGAAGATAAAGAATGTTTGCAGGAGGAAGTTGCTGTGTATGTGCTGCCGGCATTGTTTCAAGTCAGTCCAGAAAGCCTCCCCATTCCTTTGCCCCGAAACCTTATTGGAATCAGCAATGGAAGCAGAGAGGGCAGCCTTTGACCCGCGTGGCTTATCCGTGCTGCAGCTCCTGCAAATCTTGGCCTCCATAGTGCAAGAGATCAGCAGGAGACATCGTGAAGATAGTTGGGAGGAAGTCATTCCAGCCGCTGCTGACACCATGCCGGCAATGCGCAACTTTTCAGCTCTGCCCTACGCAGCACCTGGACAGGAGCCGCATCCACATTGCCCATTCCGGTGCCAATTCTGTGAGAATAACTGTGCTTGCATAGAGCCGGGACATCGGAGCCACAAGTGCCGCGTCCACTTCCGCTGGAGGGCATAATTAAGGACCAATGGTAGTGGCTAGAGGATGCTAGAGGCAGAAGTCACAAGTGCTTACCGGGAAAAAACGCGCTTTCAGTTTTGACCAGACTATATAGAAGATAATGCATTTCCATGTTTTTGGAACACATTGGTTGAATCCGTATATAGGTAGGGGCTAGGTGTCCAAGGGTCTCAGCTTGTTTCTGCAGGCATCTGCAAAAAGCAAGAAGGGGCAAAATGAAAAGAGTAACGTGGACAACGAGGCACAGGAAACCAGGATTGCTACAAGAGAGTATCCAATCATTTCACTGCTGGGAGGCCAAAAGCACAAAAAAGATGAAGAAAGCGGAAGTTGAGGCTGAATCTACCCACACCCTCAGACACTCAGCATTGAGACCACAGTTCAAATAGAAGATAGGCAACATTGATACAACGGGAAATCATCTGCGCAACTTGTTCAGATGCTACCGTCTTTCCAAGGTCGACAGTCACCCAGCATTGCTGCAAGACATTAAAGCACCCGGAAGAAAGACAAATAGAATATATTCATCCGACAATTTTGAGGTGACCATGCCCGTTTTCTTTCTTGTCTTTAGTTTAGCGGTAGCTGTGATTGCGTCTCTATCACCTCTAGGCAGACAAAGAGAAGCACATTGTCTTTCCTTTGGCCGCACAGTGGTTTGAAGAGATCGCCAGCGGTAGGAAACGCTGGGAGTTCCGGAGCTCAAACAAATACTGGACGCCTCGGTTGGATGGGGCCACACATGCTATCTTTCAGAAAGGAATCTCAGCCCAATTGAATAGAAGATAATCATTTTGTTGGTTGCCGGCCTAAACTACAATTGGATTTCTTTTGAGAACTGCCCACCCAGGATACAGCAAAATCGGCAGACTGGGGCCGACCAAGATCTTGAAGATCGAGGAGCTAAGCCGCAACGGTGCAGAGGAACGTGGTGCACCGTGTGGTAAGGATTGGGACACCTTGTTTGGAGAAGATTGCGAGACTGTCTGGGGAATCTATTTTGAACGTCCTGAGGTTGTTGAAGAATCCTCCCACGCGATGAAAAAGAGTGCAGAAGCACTATCTAAAGTCAAGGAGGCCTCCACCAAGGTGGAGGGGAAAGAGAAAGTCCTGAGTGAAGAAGACCTCAAGTCGATGTTCAAGCCGTCAGATGCCCGACAGGTCAAATCCAAAAACCAGATTGAGGAGGAAAGAAAAAGGGAAATCCAGTTCCCAAACAATCTCCTCAAGAGGTTTTGTGAGCATGCCTGGAAATTCAGCCCAAATGAATGCATGGCATGGATCACGGGAACAATAGAGGAGGATCCCAAGACCAAAGCCAAGATCAGCTACGCGACCACTTTGTACTTTCCCAAGCAGACTGGGAACCAATTTCGGGTTGATGAGGGAGAGGATGTCCTCGGAACAGGCTTGGTGGAACATTTGTCTCAATCCAAGACCACAGTAGTGGGATGGATTCACAGTCATCCGACATTCGCCGCTTTCTTCAGCAGCATCGATGCCCACATGATGTTCTTGCTCCAGTCCCAGCTACCACAGGCATATGGCTTGGTGATGGACAGCGAGAAGAAAGTCCGCTGTATGAGGCTGAGCGATGCGGGGATGAAAGCAGTTTCAGAGTGTAAGGAAAGCTGTGAGGCCAGGGGGTGACCAAACTACATCTTCTTTAAAAGAACTAAAATTCAATTGTTAATTGAATATCTTCCATGTTATTGGTATTGTGTGTTTTGGGAAAGCGTCTTCTTCCAAGCTTGCCTCGTGGGCGTGACCTCAAAGTCTTTTGCGGCAGGTGACGCATGAACATTCCATTGACAACGAGGCTGCCGTGGAAGATGTCCCCTACTTTGTCCACTATGCAGGCAAAAGGAGTCGCCTCTTGATCTTTGATGAAAACATGGTTCCAGAGATCCTCAACTTGAAAATTGTACAGCAGTTTTTGTGGACTTTCCACCAAAGGAAGCTGGTGGCAGTTATACCCCCTCCATTTGTTTTTACATATCTTCTATGTAATCTGGATAGCCTGGCTAGCCCAATGATGTTATGTTATATGAATATCTTCTATTTTATCCGGTCATGTGGGTAGCATTTGACAGAGCCAGGATTGAACGCTTTGTCTCGGAATCAGCTGAGAAAAGGATTGGACAGCAAGTTCTGCCTGAAGGCAGCTCAGATATGGATGAAAATGAGGTTCCCAGGAGGGCTCCTGCTGCTGGAGTGGAAACAATTCGGGCAAACATTGAGTCCCTACAGAAGTTCAAGAATTGGATGCTTGCTTCCATGAGCGTTTGCTTTGGTGATCCGCCAGCTGCTTCCCAAGAGCTCCGTGCCATGGCTGCGGAGGTGGCTGATGCCAACCCATCTATGAAGCAAATCCTCGAGGATCTTGAGCTTGGGAAGGACTCCGCATCTGTGCTTGATTTTTCCACCTTTGGGGCAAGATTGCAAAAAGTGGAAGCAGAGCAATTGGACATCCAAAAGGACTTGGATCAAGCAGGCCCGGTGCGGAGGCGCCGAGGCCGGCCCTTCGGGGCCAAAGGAAAAAAGAAGAAGCAACAGAAGGACCCGCAAGAAGAGTGCGGAGAGCCTGGAGGGCCTTCTGAGAAGAAACAGAGAAAGAAACAAAGAGGAAAGAAAAAGAAGGCCAGCAAAGGAGAAGAACAGGAACAGGCTGTGGATGTGGAGGGGGAGGCAGACGAGGACCCCATTGTCACTGATGGAGAGCTGGAGGAGGAGGAGGATGAGCCCAACAAAACGGTCACCATACCTTTGTATGCCAAGTGCTTGGTTGTGGAGTTTGCCAAACAGGTCATTGCAGAAGGGACAGTGCACAGTGTAGAGCGTGAGGTGATGACCAAATTTAAGAAGTACTTCTTTTCCTATAAGAGCGGGCAGTGGAAGAGTGGACTCCTGGGAAAATGGATGAAGCCCCTCAGCTTGGATTTTTCTTTATATAATGTGTTTTTTTGCTTATTTCTGTTATTTCTTCTATATTAAGTATTGTGTGACCCCATTTCATTTCACCAAACCTGATACATATATATATATATATATATACAGTATATATTATACACACGCCTAAAGAGGGAGATGTGCGCACGCGCACACACACACACACACAAAACCACTCAAATAGAAGAAACAAATAAAATAAAGACCATCCAAGGATGACAATTCTCTCCATCCAAACCTTTGAGGACAATCTATATAGTCTGAGTTGTAAAGCGGATCCCAACTCTTTCTGATCGGTTTTCTGTGTTATGTTATGTTAGTTGCTTCTATTTGAAGTGACCCGTGTGGCCCATCCCATCATCTATATAGTGGGTGCAGCAGTGAGGACATATGATGCTGAACGTCATGATCGGATCCCATGGACAGAGATGAGCTTGAAGCATCGCAACAACCTGAAGCAGCTACCAGACTGGCTCCGACGAGCCATGGGCCTTCCTCCAAGGTTCCGAAAGGGCCATTCCCTGCAAGTTCCAATTGAAGTGGAGGCTTGCTTCAACGATGTGCTGGAGCGTATGCTTGCAGGCTTCGCCAGGGACTTGCAAGCTGTCACCAATTTGAAAATGCCTGTGCTGGTTGACACCGCCCAACATATTTTCACTTTGTGGTCAAAGGCTTACGCAAAGCTTTGCAAGGACTCCCAATGGATTGTTTGTTCTGACTTAGCTCTGCCAAACTAAAGCAGAAGTTTAAATAGAAGATATATTTGTGACCATGCCGTTAAGTGGGTTTATTTTCCCATGGGCGAGGTGGTCTAGACCGGGAAAACACACATTTTTGATCATTTTTGTAGCATTTCAAATAGAAGATACTCTAGTATATCATGAGTCAATTGCAATGCTGCAAGGACCATGAGGTGAAGGAGCAGCCAATGCGGCAGAAGCCGATAGATGCCCGCTGGGTTCACCGCTTTCTCTACAAATGGCAATGGGCATACCAGGCATCGAACACCAAAGGCGCTTACCTTCCTGATGATTGCGAAGAGATGCAGGAGACGAGACAGGCCCACAGGGCACAGCGCACAATGAACAACGTCTCATGGCAGCTCACCCTGAACTTTGACCAACTCTGGCGATCAGCTTGGGAACCACCCGCCAAGGTTCTTCACAAAAGAAGGGCAAGGCAGGCAGACAGGGAGGGGGAGGCTTGGGGCGAGACCCGGCCGGATGATTTACTGGGCAAGCAGTTGAAAGCAGTATTGGCATTGGCAGAGAATGCAATGACCTCCAGGATGAAGCAATGTGCAAAGCCATCCAAGCTCCGCCGGTCTGCAGCCCGCTCAGAGTTTGTTGTGGGAGGACGTGTGGGGGTGACAGCTGTAACGAGCACATGGGCTGACGGTACGATGGGGCCGTTAGGTGTTTGTGTGGCATCAGGCAGTCTACCTCTGGCCTGGATTCAGCAAATGAACTCCGATTACCGTGGGTTCGTTTACATTTTTGAGTCTGGTACAGAGACCCACTTCATGAATGCAGAGACTACCATGCTTTACCTGACGGAGTTGATTGGACCTGTGCCCTGGCCAAGCTTGCGTGGAATCTAGGGCGCACTAAATAGAAGATATATATATATATATAGAGCTTGCTTCAGGGAAAATGCCCAAAGACATCTGCTTTTGGAAAACAGTATATAAAGTGTGGGGATGCTTCTGTCAATGCCTTTGTCGGCTGTATGCACCCTCACCTGACTTGAGGCGCTAGAGCTCCGACGTGCAGCTTTGAAGCTCGACAGCGAAGACCCAGCAATGCTGATTTGCGATGGATTTAGCGGCAACTTCGCAACTGCAGACAACCAGGATGCTCGCCGCAGCCTTTGGGCAGCAGAAAACAATGTGATCCTTCCGCTCAGACCTCCTGGTGGATGGAGTTGTCACGGGCAACCGTGCGATGCCTTCCACCACGTTTTCCGAAAGCTGGGAAACACCTACATCGACTCTGTTTTAGGTGAGCGAGGGAGACAAAGACATTGTGCAACAAATGCAAACACACACACACATATCACATATTTCACATTCAAATCAAATAGAAGAAACTCATTAAAATCGAACCCATCAAAAAGAAGAAATGCTATTATATATAAAACATTTCATTTTCTTCATCCAAGCATATATAAACCTTTCAACCCTGTGCAGGATACAGGGATCCAGGTTTGCTACAGGCATCACGGCCCTTTGAGATCGGCCTAAATGGGCAAAAGCATTTATCAGTGTCTACGCAGGACAACGTCAAAGCACTGATCTTTGCCTGGCAGGAGATGGCAAAGTATAAAAGGCTCTTGCGCTGGTCTTGGGTTAGCCGGGGTTTGGTAACCAAGGCATCCAGAGCTGTCAGATGAAGAGATGCAGCAAATGGATGTGGAAGCTGGCACGCCATTCCGAGAGTTGGTGCCTGACATTCCCATCTTGGTCCCGACTCTTATCTCAAGAATTGATTTGTGTGTTTGTTATGCACTATTTCGATTTATTTCTTCTATTTGATATGTGCCAGTGGTTCCTTCCAATTTTGTTGCAATTTTTTGCAAGTGTTCAGATATATATATATATATATTTAGCCCGACATCTGAGGCCAACTATTGCAGAGGCTGTTCGTGAAGCCTGTCCCGGAAGAATGGTGCACGTGTGGCAAATGATGGACCCAGAGAGCCCTGATGCGGAGGTGTGGTTGAACTTGCCCATCCTCATGCAGCAGCATGCAGATCGCGCTTATTCACAATATCAGCTCCAGATCTACGAGGCCAGCAAGCGTTTGGAAAGAAAGGAGATCAAGCAGGCTAAGTACAATGCTGCTGTGGATAATTGTATCAGGCCTCTAATCCTGATGCACAACACGGGGATGCCGGCCACTCAAAGATATGTGAAGGAACATTTGCAGCAGGGCCCCGATGGCACCATGAAGCTCAAGGCAAATTTGCTTGAATGCTCAAATGTTCAATTATATAGAAGATAATCCTGGCAAAATGTTTCTTTGGCATTTCACTATGCAATGTCGTATTCCAGTTAAATAGAAGATATAGTATACCAGGGCACTATAATTTGCATGTTTAAATAGAAGAAATTGGTTACGCACGCGCAAAGAACTCTGCCTCCTAAAAGGTGGGCTCCCGATCTACCATCATCTTGTTTGACTTCAAGTTGAAGAGGGTGAAGATTGGGGCTTTGGGGTGGACAAACCTCCGAGTGCTGCAGGTGGAGACCAAGCTGAACTCTTTGGAGATGGAGGTTGACAAGTCTTTTCTGCAATCAGTGGGGCTGCCTGGTTTGGAGATCTACGACAGCCAGGATTCTCCCCGGGACGAACCAGAGCCAAATGAGCCTCATGATGCAGCAGATGATTTGGCAGCCAATCAGCAAATGGTGCTTTGCTGGCAGGCGGATGGGGAGGACCTCGAGACCGTCTTAGCAAAGGAAGTTCAAAATTGGATGGACAACCAGGACAAGAATGAGTGCTATGTGCCCGATGATAGCATTTGTGCACAGGAAAACATCGGATCTGAAGGTGAAGAAGAAGACCAAATCAACGTGCGCTTCGATGAACATGGAAACTTAATCGCCAGCATAGATGAGGTGGAGCTAGTGGCAGAGGGCTCTACAAAATTCCAGCCATCAGGAACTGTGGGAGGTGTTATTTGTTTAACTTGACAATCTCGTTCAATGGTTTATATGTGTCTATATATAGTGATTGCATTCCATGTTTGAATCAATGGCTGCCCTTTCCTCCAGGAAAGCAAATGGAATACAAGAATTCCGAGGCCTGGAAGGCCCTGGATGCTCAAGGCTTGGCTGACACTCCGCGCAGCCTGGGAATCCAAGGGTGTGGTCTTTGCTACAACAGGCCTGTTTATGTTTCCTTCTTTTGAACGCGTTTCTTCTATTTGAGTTGGCGGTTGAGCTCCCACTACTCAATTTGAACATTGTGGATTTTGTTATTTTCTTCTATTTGAATTGGAGGTGAAGAGCATGTTTCAATCAATTGAGATGGGCCGATTCATATTCTGTTTTTCCCCACCTATTGCAGGCATGGCCAGTGGCTGGGATTGTACCCCGGGTGCCCAAACATTGGCAGATCTTTCCATGAAGGCCTTCGATCAGAGCGCAAAGCGCTTCTTCTAGTCCTCCATTCTCTTTGGTGTCGCCATCAGCAGGCATTAGGAAATGCAGCGGAGGACACTACTGTTCGTGAGCTGCCTTTGGCCCAATACATTGAATTGTTGGCAGAGGAAGTGTCTGCTTGCATTGATTGAAGCAGGACCGTAGGCTTCATAGATAGTTTCTTTGTTTGGACATGTTTGGACCCTGTTTTAGGAGAAGCCCCACAGTTAGGTCAACCATATTGAAGACCGGAGCAGCCACAGTTCCATACCTCGTGCCTGTCATGCCATTTTCCTAATTAGTAATGAGCAGCGTTGAGAAGTTCCCATATCTCACGCTGATAGCTGGTTTTGCCTGCTTGGTGCAGGGTTGGGAGTAATGCTAATTTAGCAGCTGTGCCATCTTTTAATCGATGGACAACTGTCAGAAGAAAATCGCATGCTGGTTTAACCTGCTTGGTGCAGGGTGGGACGAATGCTAATACAGCATTGCCTACAAACAAAGACATATTGGAGGGTTGGAAAAAGGAAGCGGATTTCTGATGTTCTTGCCCACTGGGGACAAATCAAATAGAAGAAACATAATTGTTTATTTTATACACCTATTGTATGCTACAATAATTTCACCACTGTATCTTCTATTTGATGTGCCCCTTCATCTTCTATTTGATCCTGGATCGAAATTGGCCAGACTTCATGTGGCAGGCATCAGAGAAAGCTAAAAAACTCGAGGTTTTTGGCACTTTTTTCACCAGAAGACCCATGATGAGCAAAATGCAATTGGTCCTCCTGAGGAAGAGGAACTTTTGCAGAAATCAAACATTTTTCTGCCGGCTAGCCCGGACTTATCTATGGCACATTCATTACTTCATGAGTCATATTTCTTGGTAAATACCACATAAAATGGTGCCGGGAATAGGATTCTTTGAATGTTCTGGAAAAGGATGACTTTGGACTGAAATACACCCACCAAAGGACACTTTGCATTATGCAGTTTATTCTATTTGAACCTTTCCTGGCAACCCCCTCAAACTGCATCTTCTATTTGAAATATTCGTCTAATATCTTCTATAATAGTGGTTATGATTATACTTGTCTCTAACCACATCTCGTGAAGCACCCGTGAACCACCATGTCGGCTCCCTGGAAGTGACGATGCTCGCCAAAAGTCATCGGAGAGCGGGCAGGGAATGGGTTGTAATGCTCACATGTTCGCTCGGAAGGTTTTAGTCGCCTTCAATTTTCACAGCGGACCTCACTTACACAGTAACGAACCTCAGCTCTAAACTCTGTGCATCTTCACCCTCAATGATCGTCGTAAGCACCGGGCACCGCGGGCCTAATCCGGCGTGTGCCGCGACTGTTCTCTATCAATCTCTATCACGTCTTCTCTCTGTCTCACTGCATCCATCGGAGGCCTATGAAGAATCCTACCTTGCAGGACCAAACTCTAGGCAAATCACCCCTTCCTGGTTACAGGTCGCCTGAAGCTACCTTTCGTATCCTTTCGTTACCTTTTGATCGTTCTGGTGAGAAATCCCTGGTGCAAGTGCGCCGCAACGGGTGCTCCCGGGCTCAACAGCGGTTGGCTGGACCCTCTGGGGCTCCAAGCTGGGTGGTGCAGCACCCGGGCCGTCCAAAACGGCCCATTGAAGGAGGACCACATAAAGGCCAGAAGGCAGTTCGATCTCTTTCGTCCCAGAGGGCCAGAAGGACCAAGAAGGCCGCGCCGCACAACACCAAGCGCTGGAGCACGATGGAGTCACCACCAGGAGGACAATGGAAATGATTATATAGGGGTTGACCTCGGATCAGGGCCTACTTATAAATTATAGCATGTGATGGGTGGAGGCCAGATCTGGGATCTCCAATTTGAGGGTCACGGTGGTAGGAATCTGTCTGCCCTTGTGACCAGGGCTTCGTCTGAGCAGATGGCACGTTGAAACGGGATGCTGCAGCTGCATCACAGAGGAGAAGGATGCGATGGTGAACTGGAGGATGGCCATCCTTCCCGGTCTGGGGTTGTAGAAAATGGATGCTGTGCTAGCCGCCGTTCACCCTTTCATGCTCTCCGGCAGACCTCGTTTTCAGCCGTGGAATGCCGCAACACATCCCGGTTCACTCCCCAGCGTCCGAAAAAGCCACCCGACGCCTCATGTCTGCGCAGCATTCGAGTCTTCTGTGGCGCCCTTTTGATGGCGGCGACGACCGTTGTGGGGCACAACACACGATGAGCCGCTCTCATCGCGTTCCACCCGCAGCGAGCTTCGGTCGGGAGCCGTTCTCCGCGGGCTTCTCGGCACCCGGAGGAGACCGGAACAGGCTCTGAGACGTGAAACGAAGCACGGAAGCATGGACATGCGCGGCCAAGCAAACAACAAACAAACTGAAGACGACCGCCAAAGCACCAAGACAACGAGCTGAATATTCATGAATGTTCACAAGAACACTCTCAGACAACAAGCCTTTCAAGCAGGTGGCAATAAGGCTCCATTGGTGCCCAAGCTGCCGACCAGGAGCAGGAGACGTTGACAAGAGCAGCATGGCTTCGGAGAAACAAAGCAGACTCCTTCAAAACGCTTCTTTATCACATCCACAAAAAAAGGCGGGTTCAACGACTCCAAATATACCCAAAGATCATCAAAGATCCAAGCCCTTTAGCGACAGAATCCCTGCAAACACCCCACAAGCCTCGCCCTTTCGCTGGGCAGCCCACTCTTCCGAGGCGCAGCATCACCGTTCCGACGCCAAGCAACGAAGCTTCATCGAAAACCCGTCGAAAAACCGTCGAACATCGCCTTTGCTCTGAACCCCACGAAGCAGTCCCAAGCGGAGCGGCTGACGGAGCGGCTCACCCGACGTGCGAGATTCCAACTCCTGCGGGGCCGGTCTCAGAGCGACCAGGATCGGACCAAATCGATGACAGACCATGAACAACTCAAACCATCATGATCACAAACCAAAGGGTCGGGTATACTGTCCAAGTCGGTCTGAGATCATAAGCGATCTCCATGCTCTCAATCGACGATTTTGAAAAATCAGCGCTGCGTCCAGAAAAATGAGTCGCCCACGTTTTGGTTCGCTCCTTTTTCGCCTCGAGCTGAGCACCTGGTGAAACCAATGGGTCTGACAAAACCTTGGAGTTGCTTGAGGAAAGATATAATAGCAAATATACATTGTATCATTGTACATAATTCTCCAGAAGGCAATTCACCCGTAGGAAAGCAACAATCACCCTAAGCAAAACCAGGAAACTATCCAACCACTCATTCAAGATCTTCAATGCCTTTCAGCAGCTCATCCTGCCGTGAGGGGCGTGTCTGCTTCGGGACTCTATGATACTGATTGATTAAATAGTAGACTCTTTAGGCCCCGGTAAGGGGGGCTTCCCAAAGTCTCTTGATAGATAAAATGTAAATAAAACAATAAAAAAGATAATACATAACAATCCCTCGAGAGTTCGGATGTCTCAGTGGTTCATTTTTGGCTTCTTGCGAGTTATGAAAGGGTCCGTGTATCCAGTGTCATCCCAAGTGTGCAAACAGGGGCACCTCATCTTCGTTCGCATTGCTGTCCAGCAGTGCTTCAGCATCCAAGGTCAATACTGTGTGTACCTCACGTGTGACTGGTTTCGCGCCTCACTTCCCGGCGTGAGGGGTTGGTCACACCGGCGGGTTCCGCGACCGTGAGAGGGGTGTCCGCCCTGCCGGAAAGAAAGGTGACGACGCGACCGTGACGACTCGCCGCTGCACACGTCTCGAACGTCGAGGGGGAGATCGGCAACTCCTCATGGTGTGTCATTTGTTCTACGCCCTTCTTTTTTGGGTCTGATGCACTTGTTAGCTGCTAGTACCGCTGTATATACACATATAATTTATATTATATATATATTATATATATATTATATATATTTATTAATATATATATATAATATATATATGTGTGTGTGTTTTTAGCGTCCTGGTGTTCAATGCACGTGCATGTGAATTGTTCACTGGGATTTGGGGCCGCCAGGAAGACTCGAGGGCCGCACCTCCACTGAGCAACCATGTGTGCGATCGGGTTAGCCATTTACCCATGACCTCACTCAATCTGGGGCCATGAGTGAGGTGCATCAGAGTCATTAGTTTTTGGTGCATGAGTCACTCTCTGGGCTATTAGTTTTTGCTGCATGAGTCGCGATAGCTTCCAAAAGCCTTGAGTCGTTGAAGGTCGCAACAAAGGTGGGAGAGAACTGGACGTCCATCCCTCTTCCGTCTGATCGTTTCTTTAAGCCATCAGCACGATAGAACTTCTCTACCCAGTGGCTGGGGTCACATCAGGAAGAACTGGAGGAGACACCGGAGATGCGCTGTCCTCACACTTGGCAAGTGAGCCAGAAATGCCGAAATGTGTGCAACTAGGGTTTACGTAGCTTTGACTAAGAACACAAAAGGATGAAAATATGCTTAAACACCTTTCCTTTTATATAGAGTTTAACCCACCGACATCCATAGAAACCGCCTCCTTGGATGGGGGTTACAATGTAGAAACCACCCCCAAAACGAGGAC